CGGCATATCCTGGTCGAAGTGGACTTCGGCGTGAGCACGCTTGCGTGATGGGCCTGCACTATTCCCTGACCCTGGCATTTGTCGTCTGAAGCTCAAAGTGGATTGGGATCCGGAAATCATGGTAGGCTGCTGTGGTCCTCGATTGGGATTTCCAGATGTGTCTTTGGCCGCGTTACTCCCATTTAGAAAGCGGTCCACCCTGTCGTTCTTCTGCAAAGGCTCCTTCAAAACCTCCACCCATAGCTGCTCAAGGTGCTTTGGGTCTGACCATCTATCTTCCCCTATCCTGGTGTTGATAGATCCGTGGTAATCCATGGCAGTGTTCAACCATCTGTGAAGCGCAAGAGTTTGGAACGTGAAGATTCTCGTATATCTCCGATTTGCACAGTTCAATGCTTTACCATCGCCACCACCCATCGTGTCGTCGCCGCAATCGAACATCCGACTGATAGTGGAGAGAACCTTTTTGTTAGCGACATTGTGCACTCCCCATCGAATGCTGGAATAGAGGACCACGTATAGCATTGACTCCATGTCGTCCTGCAAGGAATGTGAATGAGACATATGAACGCTAAGGAGGTCGATTGACATAAATTGCCAAGTCCCCTGGTCGTTTAAAATCAGAGATTATCGGCGGCAACAGAACATGAATCTTACTGTTTGTGCATATCTACGAGCTAGTCCTTCTCGATCGGTCCGACATGAAAGCTCCCAGTCAATCAAAATGCCACGCCGAGGACTATTCCCAGGATCCTGGAATAAAATGATGTTGCCTAGACTAATATCCTGATGCAATCGCCGGCCTTTGGTATATGCACCAAGCATAGCTAGACACATTATGTCAACCATAAATACAAATGTCAGATTAGAGAAGGATCAACCTTGATAGGCGCAATATGTGGAATACAATAGCTCCTCCGTACCTCTGAAAGTTTTGAGGGAATAGCCTACGGTGCCCAATATTATACGGTAGTGGACGCGAGGAGTCACAATACGCCGTGGGACTTCATCTATGCCGCCTGTACACAACCACTTGGCATCGAGGTATTGATCGGTGAGTGACCGTTGAATCGAAACTATAATTTGGTATGAGCCGGGCAGCACACATCATAATACAATTTTCATGTTCTTACCGTCGTCCATTGCCGACTGCTTTCGCTTCCCTGTAGAATGGCTCGGAACGGAAGGCTCCAACTGAGAGGGTACATTCCCATGATGCAGCAGCTCGGGTATGTTTTGCACCTCAGCTTGGTGCAAGCCAATCAGGATATCGCCCTCCCTCTCAAAGTCCTCTCCCGAACATTGCCAAGTGTCCTTCAAGAACGCAATTCTACCATCTTCGCGAACAGCCCAGTATCCACGTGTTGCCCGACTAGTCATAGACAGCGGAGACACGACCGGTCGGGATATAAGGTACCTGTGAATATTGTGACTCGGGGTCGATTCATCATAAACCCTGACAGCCGTCACTCTGGTCGAGAGATAGTGTTCGTCGACAGCCTGCTTCAGTGCCTTGGCGTCTTTGACGTCTTCGAGTAACTGCTCCTGCACATGCGTCGTGATGACATTTCTAAATAACACTTCCTCTTCAGGGCTCGCTGGCTCGATTGTCATGTCGTATCCCCGTTGCGCGTCCGTGGAATGAGAAAATCGCCAAAGAAATTCACACAGAAACTTTGGGTGTTGGTGGAGATCAAAGCCCTCGGTCACGATCGCTCCCGCGCGATCCCAGCGAATAAGGCGAGCATGGCTACCGGACACTGACACTGAGAAGTAGAACGTGCGATGTTGCCGAGCGCAAGCCTCGGTGGCATATGCAACATTTTGACCAAGCGCCTCCAGAGCTTCCTGGCGTGTTCTCTCGTTCGGAATGTTCAAGATAAACTGATGAGAGGCACGGTCAGCATCAGGTTTGGGGTCTGTGAAAAAGTCCTGCTTTGGGTCCTTTTTGACCTCGAAGAATAGCTCCGCGTAACCAAGATGAGCGCGTGGTCTGCCATTCCTGTCTCTCGCTTCACCAACGATATCTTCTATATAACAACAGATATCAGGTCGCATCGACTTGCCGTGTGATTCACCCCTAGTTGATGTTTGGTCAAATACGAAGCCGGGACATCGAGACATTTTCTTCTTTCCGTCTCCGTTGAGTGCAGATATCTATATATCACGGTGTGAGGATAGAATATGTGAAACTGACTTCGAGTTCACTCACCAAAGGCGTGTAAATGTTCTGTTCGCGAGACGCCATTTCTGGAACGTGCTTGAATGCGTTCTTGCTGGAGGGCATGCCTTTCTTAGAGAATCTTGGGAGAAAGTCGTCCAGAAAGTCTTGCGCCGGCATCGGCCCCAGAAAAAACTTCTGAGCCTCAATAGCGTATCGTCTGTTCCGCGCCGAAGTGTGCTTTGGGTCAAGTCCAAACAATTGGTCATTATCCGCGTTCCTTGCGACGGGGGTGTTGTAGGGTATCTTTAGCTTGCTATTAGCAGGCGTGACCGGAGGAGCGACGGGAGGAGTAACGCCCGACATCCTGGATCTTGGTCAGGGCTTAACTCCGAGGCTGGCGGAGGCCTTTGTTTAGCTTTGCGTATTTTCGTTGTCGTGGTTGTCGTCGTTGTCGTGGTTGAAGACATGATGAAACGTCGATGGGTTTTGTGGACAAACGGCCACAGCGCAGTGGACAAACGGTGTGGCCAACTTCGGCAATGCGATCGACCCTATCTATCACGTGCGAGGGTTCTTGGGATTATGATCAGTGATTCAAATTTGAATAGCGTCGCATGCTGCGTGACGCACGCTTCGTTTTATGATGGGATAGGTAGTCTAGTAACTTGTCCCCTTGCATCTCGTTATTGTCTGTCAACGTCCGGCTTTGGAATGTTATCTCTCCCAAAGACACGCGTCAGAGACAGACCTTCATGGCGCAAGAGGAGAACTTGCGGACATTGTTTTACATCGTGACGGACCGGCATCACTTGAGAGACAGGTTACGCGGGTTAATCCGATCGCAGCTTATGTTCTCGTGAAACTTAAAGGACAAGAATACGAAGACCGGAGGACTTGGGAGAGGATGTTATTCCTATTGAACCTTTAACGAGGATGTTTAGGATCGAGATACAAGGAGCAAATATATCGAGACGCACCCCGGGCCTATATCAGACCTGGTCTCGTGCCCAGACGTGTCTTCGACACGTCTGGGGCAGGCTCCTGCCCATCCGATCTCCGGGAGGAGAGGGACTTCATCCCACC